CACCAGGTTCTACACCACCTGGTTCTACACCACCCGGTTCTACACCACCTGGTTCTACACCACCTGGTTCTACACCTCCTGGTTCTACACCACCCTGTTCTACACCACCCAGTAAAACCACTGACCTGATCTACTTCCTGTCAGGTCCACCATGAGCTCTGACTTCCCTCCACCTGGTTCTACACCACCTGGTTCTACACCACCTGGTTCTACACCACCCAGTAAAACCACTGACCTGATCTACTTCCTGTCAGAAGCTCTGACTTCCCTCCACCTGGTTCTATAAAAACTAGTTCTACACCACCAGGTTCTACACCACCTGGTTCTACACCACCCGGTTCTACACCACCCGGTTCTACACCACCCGGTTCTACAGCACCTGCTTCTACACCACCTGGTTCTACACCACCCGGTTCTNCAGCATCAGCGGTCAGGGAGAATCTCCATCCAGCAGGATCTCTGTGGAAGGTCAGCAGCTTCTCTGTTTGCTTCAACCTTCATCAGGAGACAAGAAATAAATTATTACTTTGATTCATTTCAGGGAGAATCACCTCCACTCCTCCTTCATCCTCCACTCCACTGACCATCACCTCCATCTCTCTTACTTCTGGTTCATCTTTTCCCACCATCACAGTCGTTTCTGCCATTTTTATCTTTCTGGTTTTGCTCTCATTAATTCTTCTGGTTCTTCTGGTGAGACGATGTTTCTGCAGGAAACCTGAAGGTGAGTCTTGAATCTAGTTTTTTTCATTCATTTTTAACAGACATGCATTTTAACCTTTTCGTTTTACATGTTTTGTTGTTTCACTACCTGCAGACTGATTTAATGACAGTCACTCTGATGAGCTCTGCTGGTTGTTCTGTTTATTTCAGCTGAAGAAGGAAAAGATGGAGGAAAGGAAATGAGAGAACTGAAAACCTTCATTAACCAGCTGCAGCCAATCAGGAGCAGCAGAGGTAATTCCTCACATCCTGTCAAAGTTAAAACTTTTTATTTTAAATCAAACACAGAATGTTTCTCGTTTTCTGCTGGACAGGAAAGATTTTTATCTGTTTATCTGCTGATTCATAACAGATCATTTCACTTTTTACTGAGACATTATTAATCTCTATGGATGAAGAAGCTTATAGATGTATTTCCATGCTGTACGCTGGTCCAGGAAGCTGATGACTCACTTCCTGCAGCTCAGAGAGGATCAGAGCTGCACTAACCTGACTGTTTGTCCAGCAGGAACCTCTACATGTGTCCTCTACTCAGCGCTGAGGACAGACGTCCTCCAGGGACAGATCGTCTGCAGAGCCACAGCGGCTCCAGTCTGAGGGAACCTGGTCCAGATTTTCTCTTCCAGCTCCAGAAAACACAGCAGAAAGTTCTGGAGCTGCTTTCCAAACCTTTAACATCTGGTCCACAGTTTCTTTTCAAGCATGTTAAGATAAATGTGTGTTTTGCTTTCCTTGCTCTTGTGCAGGATTTTATACTACAATCATGTTTGGAATAAATAAACAGCATGAAACCCACTGACCCGGTTCTGGTTCTGGCTCTCACCCTCCCAGACTTTCTCTGACAGGAGGTCAAAGGTCACAACATCTTACCGCAGAGTTTAGAAACAACCGATGAGTTTCTGCTGCCACTCATCACGTGACTCCATCAGCAGGCCTGACATGCTACCACCTGGTGACCGGAACCTGGTACTACAACCACAATGTTTGAATAAGTGATTATTAATCCCAGCTAATATTTC